TAGCAAATGATGTGAAAGAAAGCTCATTGAAGCATTATTCATAGTAGCTCAAAAAATAAGTTGCCCATATGTATATCAAATAATGATAAACATTTGCAATAGATAAAATGTAGTTCATCAACCACAGCTACATTGTTGTATTCCATGAATTAATTTTCACTTTGCTTGTGTTGTAGAAATGGGGCTCTGTGCCTTTGAACTCCATCATTACCTAAATGAAATAGAGAAGATTTTGGGGAGGGATTACTTCTCTTTGATTTATTTAGCCCTAAAATCCTTTCTTTATAAATAAAAGCTTGATCATGAAATGGTTTATTTTTTTTTGTTATTAAGCAATTCTATTTATACTAAAATCAAAATCTTTTTATAGTGTTCCTTGGATTAGTTTAATACCATCAATAATTGTTTGTTAAGCAGTGTACTTTAAACTACACTACACTTAACTTTCTAAATCTAAATGTATTCAGCTTGACAAGAACTTTGCTGTTTACTAATATAACTTTCCCAGAATATCTCTTAGAAATTACACAGATGTTACCCAAATTATGTATGTAAACATTTCAGAAATAAATCATTTAATAAGACAGATGTAAATGTAGATGATGATAATAATGATGATGATGTCAGCTAGAAGAGAGAATGTTATTTAATAAATGTGATTAGGGTCGTCTTTTCAAAGTACTGGAGTTAAGGGTGCTGGGAGAACACTCTTATTCTTCCTCTTGGATTTATGATTTTTTTTTTTTTTTTGAGACGGAATTTCTCTCTTGTTACCCAGGCTGTAGTGCCAGGGTGCAGTCTCGGCTCACTGCAACCTCTGCCTCCTTGGTTCAATCAATTATCCTGCCTCAACCTCCCAGGTAGCTGGGATTACAGGTGCCCCCCACCTCACCCAGTTAATTTTTGTGTTTTTAGTAGAGACAGGGTTTCACTATGTTGGCCAGGCTAATCTGGAACTCTTGACCTCAGGTGATCCACTGCCTTGGCCTCCTAGATTGCTGTGATTTTATGCATGAGCCACTGTGCTTGGCATCATTCTTATATTATTCTCAGAATCAAGCCTAGACAAATACCCTCACATAGTATTTCATCAAGAATAACATAAAGCCAACATATTTCAATGATTTACTTGCTATTTTTTTCTCTCAGTACATTCTAAAAATTATGGCAAAAATAACCTCCAGCAAAGAATACTCTCTTTTTGGCTGTTTAGTTTTGTTCCATTTTCATATGAACTTACACAAATACTCTGTGCAATTATAGAGTGTACAAGCTTCATTTCATCTTTTAATAGCATCATTAACAAGTTAAATTCTCTCAACTGCTTATTTACATTCTCAGCTTCTGTCACAAAATCTGGGTGATTTTATTATAGCAGTCAAAGTAGTTACATTACTTGTTACATGTCTTAATAAAATTATCTTTCTACTAATTTTTCTCTAATATTAAAAAAATTTGTAGCATCAAAATATTTTTCCTCACACATGTGTACACATGCACACACATGCACAGTATTATAATCTTTGAATTTCAAAAATATATGTATAATTATTTCATTTAGGGATAAATTTTTTAAAAATTGTTGTATATATTTAATATTTATACTACTATAATTTATTGGAAATTCACTAATTTCTGCCACATTGCAATGTTGTTATCATAAATAATTAAATTGTAAATAAGCAAAAAAGGTGTCTAGTAAAATACGCTCAAAATCTGATGTTTCAAAGTAAGAATAACATTGAGAATGTGGAGGTAATTTTCCTGCCTATCTCTTCTTTATCAAATTAATTTAAAGAAAAGTTAAAAACTTTATCTGGGATTTCTTACTATCATAATGCTCTATTCTTCTTTATTCAGAAAAAAACTCTAATTGCAATGATGTCTAAAAGAACATGTTTTTTCAGTCTATTTTATATTCATTTATTTAGTATATGTTTCTACTTTTTAAACATTTTCATTATTGTGAAACATAACATATATATATAAAGTAATAAGGCTTAAAAGTACAGTAAAGAAAAAATATATAGCATTAAGAGTCATGTTATGGCATCTTGGTCATACAGCAGAATTCACCAGCAATCCAGGCACTCCTCACACATGCCTTCTTGTTGATATCATTTCCCTTTTGTTTCCTCCATCCCTACTATCCCAATGTTATGATAATCACTCATATGTTTCACTTTAGAATTTTGCCACCAATGTAATAAATTGCAATTTATTAAAAATATATTTTTGTAAACTTTATATAAACGGAATTATACTGAACCCTTTTTCAAACTTAATTCCTCTCATATCTATGTAGCTCAAATTTATTCATTTTTGCTTTTATTTATATTCTTTATTTATATTTACATTCTTTGTAAATATGTCACTCTAGTTAGTTCTATTGGGACAACTAAGTTCCTCTTCAAAGACTCAGCTTTCCAGCCATAAGTTGTAAATGTAAATGAATCCTACCTCTTACCCCTCCTTCTTTTTGAAAATCATGCATTTACCCTATTTGGAAAAGTTTAAGTCTAAGCCATTCAGGATCAGCTTAGACTGTGCAGTCCAACTCCAACCAATAGACGAAGGACACAGAAACAGGAACTGTGTTAGGATTAAAAACTCTTTCCCTCCTTTGTTAGGTGTGCTCTTGGGATTGTAACAGGTGCAAGCAGTACCCCTCCGCCAATGTAAATGTGCCTTGCTGAGAAATTTTCTGTCCAAGTGCTGATTTCTTTTGGCTACTCCAAGCACATGTTTCCGACAGTTCATTTTGATTGTTGTATAGTATTATATTGCAAAGGTATGCCATAATTTATTTATTCATTTTATCACTGATGGACATTCAATAGACTTCTCAACTTTAGCTATTAAAACACAGTGATATGCATGTGTATGTATATGTATTCTGATAAGACTGCAAATACTGGATCTTCGGATGTGATCCATCATCTTAACCAGATAAAGCCATACTCATACAAAGTAATTGCTGTGATTTACCATTCTAGGAGCAGTGTATGAAAATTCCCATTAGTTCATACGCTTTCCAAAATAAGTAACAACAGGCTAATTTTTACACTTTTATATTTATGTGAAACATCATTAAACCTAACATTTTTGAAGCCTTTTTCTATTATAGTTCAGAATGTATCCTTAATTCAAAAATTGTTTCTATTTTTAAATTCTATGACCATGATTTTCACACACATTTATTAATAATGAATTATATATTTCATGTATTTATTTATTCATATTCCTTTAATAGTTTTTCTAATATTTTTCTTAAAGTTTTAAATACTTTTTTGTTATGAAAAGGTATAATTATGCTAGACATATTTCCTTTAATCAAACATTATGTCAAATGACTTTAAGAAATATGGTTAGTTAACAGCATACTGTAAGGCAAATTTCAACATTGTTTAACAACTCCTTAAAAGGATTCAAAGAAAATAATAGGCCAAAATATCAAAATAGTCTATAAATATAATGAAGGTGCCCATGGGAAAATACGAATTCGACCATTACTGTTTTGGAAAAAAAAAATGATTAATGGTAAACATACCATGTCCGAAATTTTTTAAGGCAGGCCTAATGTCAATGGGCAAGATTCTCTTTAAGGTCCTGTCCTTAATTTCTATGTGCACCTGATTTCTGGTTGTGCAGTAATGTTCTTGTTCCTTTTAAATTCTCTGACTAATATCAAGCAGGAAAGCACCAGGGCATGCTACTGAATGAGTTCAAGTCTGTCTTAATGGAAAATACGATAATTTCCAAAACAGCTCAAATTAACTTCTATTCAAATACTAGGTCCTTGTTATAAGATAAAATTTTTCATACTGATGTTGAAGTGAAAGCTGAATTCTCATTTGCTAGCATGCAAATCAGGTCATATTCTTATTCATCAATTTGCAATGTATTTCCTTGATTTACCTCTCCATCATTTCTGTTCAGCAATGTCAGTTGTGAGGGAAATTTTCCAACCTAATACATAAATCATACATCGGATGCCTACACTGTTACATGCAGCTTGGTCAAAACTAGAATCATGACCACTGTTGATTCACTTTTTTGATCCCAGATTTTATGGAGAGTGAATCCCAACTTTTCCTACCAAAAGCATCCAAGGTCTTCTTGGGAAGCACAGAAATGCCAATATTCCTTAAAATCTGGTTGCTGCTAATTAATAATTTTGTATAACTTATTGTTAACAAGCTCATTAACATAAACACATTCACACGCACACAAACATACACATCCTTCACGGTTGGGAAAAATTATTGTCCTATAATTTCTAAAATGAAAAATTAATTAATTTTCTTACTTGGGCTTTTAGCGCATTTTCAATGTTTAGCAAACAATCTCTCTTAATTCTCTTGAGTCTAATACTTAAATCTTAGTTATTTAATTAAAATACTCAGAAATTTTATAACTATTCCTTGTACTCTTAAAAAACATGTTTTCCATTGAAAAATCTGCACTTCTCTGTGTATGAATATTCAGCTTTGTTTTTCCCTATTTAATTTACTTTTGCTTACTAAATGATTTAAGATGAATAGATGTTAAAAATCAGTCTCCAATCTTGGATTTTATTTCTTTTCAGTTCTTACAGTATAATGGTTTCTAAGAGGGGATCTTCTAGTCAGACTGCGAAGACAGGAAACCAGATACCCTGCTTCCTATAGATATGATGTGAGACTGCATTTTACAACTACTGCCTGCCTCAGTATAATTACCTATAAAAAGCAGATGATAGGCTGGGCATGGTGTCCCAGGCCTATAATTCCAGCATTTTGGGAGGCCAAGGCAGGTGGATCACCTGAGGTCAGGAGTTTGAAACCAGCATGGCCAACACAGTGAAACCCTGTCCCCACTAAAAATACGTAAATTAGTCAGGTGTGGTCACACACGCCTATAATCCCAGCTACTCAGTTGGCTGTGGCAGGAGAATCATTTGAACCCAGGAGATGGCAGTTGTAATTGGTCAAGATCACACCACTGCACTCCAGCAGGGAGACAGAACAACACCCTGTCTCAAAAAAAAAAAAAAAACAACAAAGAAAGGAGATGAAAATAAAATTGTCTTTGGTTAATTTTGTTAGGAGTTAATATACTCTTTGTACTTTCAATTTTACCTGTTTGCTATAGGCAGGAACGAAAGATTGTTAATTATTTATTTGATCCCATTTTACTTGATATTTAAGATACCAGTGAGAACTTACACTTCTTTTTTTCTTCTTCTGTGACAAAGTCTCCTTCTGTTACCCAAGCTGTACAGTGGCAGGATTATAGCCCACTGCAGCCTCGAACCCCTGGGCTCAAGCAATCCTCCTGCCTCAGCTTCCCAAGTATTTGGAACTATAGGCATGCACAACCACATCAGCTAATTTTGCAATTTTTTGTAGAGATAGAGTCTCCATAGGCTGCACAGGGAACTACTGCTCTCAAGGAATCCTCCTATCTTGGCCTCCCAAAGTACTAGGACTATAGGCATGAGCCATCATATCCAGCCTGCAGTGGGAGTTTTGAAGGTCAGATGCTATCCAGAGCTTCGGCTCATGTTCATCCCAAGGTAGATCTAATCAGTTTGTAGTATTACCTCTTCCTGAATGCGTAATTGAAATGGATATGTATGGCAGCTGTCAGAACTGTCACATTCTTCCTGAACTGTAGAGTAAGGGACATTATTATAGCAGGACCAAGGGGAAGCCTCTGAAATTCTCCTCTACTGGCAACACAATGTATAAAATATAATAACTGCATTCCCTAAAGAATGGAATTGGTCACTGCCATGACAAAGTACTTTAAAGTTACAGGAAATGGTAGTCTCTTTATATCTCTATTCACTTAACCTATCTGGCCTCTACCAAAACCAGATGGGTTATAGAATGAATGCAGACTACTATAAACTTAAATCAGCACTTACAAAAGCTTTCCAGGATGTGCTATCTTCACTGAGCAGAGCAGAGCTTCTGGTACTTTTTACGGGGCTCGTGATTTGGTGAATGTTTCTTAATCTACACCCATTATGAGGGAAAATCAAAACAATTTGCCTTGTAAAAATAATAGCACTGCTTCACTGTTTTATGTCAGGGTTATGTCACTTCTGTTCTCAGTTTAATTTACATTTTTTAAAAAATATTCTGCTAATTTAACATATTAATAATGTTACAGACGGGGCCCTGTGGCACATGACTGCAATCCCAACACTTTTAGGAAGCCGATACAGGCAGATCACCTGAGCCCAGAAGTTTGAGACCAGCCTGGGTAACACGGTGACATCCCAGCCCAACAAAAAGTACCAAAATTAGCCAGGCGTGGTGGTGCGCCCCTGCAGTCCCCGCGGCTAGCAATGCAGAGGCGGGAGAATCACTTGAGCCCAGAAGGTTGAGGCTGTAATGAGCTGTGATCCTGCCACTGCACCCCAGCCTCAGGGACAGAATGAGACTCTGTCTCAAAAGAATAGCAATAATAACAATATATAACTTGGTACAATAATCAGGAAGTGGCAAGTTTCTTAAATATAATAAAATACTATAACACTGAGCGGAAGTAAAATACCAGAAGGAAAGAGAGAAATAGGAGAGGATTCAGGAACATAAACATAAGTGATGTTTTAAGGCGTTCAAGTGTCCCCTGTCTACATGTTAAAACAATCTTTTTTTTTAAAGAAAATGGCATGTTGCTCTCTCCATATATTTCCTATCACTACAAAAGAGGCACAATGTTTTGGAAGCCTATTGGGATTTTGGAGCTAACATATTCCACATTTGAGAATATTGCTCTGACTCATGAATGAAGTTTCTAAAGGCTACTGCTGTCAAGTGGAACCTAGAACAAAAGAGGGCTCTACCGCAGATACAGGCTCCAGTCCAAGCTGCTGTGGTCCAAGCTGCTCTGGTCACTGTGCCAGATGATCCAGTGGAATTCAAAGCTGCTAGCGGCATGCAGAGTGGGCATTATAGGACACTATGCATGTCACAGAGAAGCCTATAGGAGACGGGAGGGCAAATCCTTATGGAATTAGTGCAAGAACATTCCCCCTTCAGCAGATAAGTATCCTCTGTCTGAAAAACAAAAAAGCAAGTGCAGAACATTAATCCAAGCATAGAGTTCGTATAAGCACACACTCCTCTAGGCACAAAACCCTGTGCAACTCTGCAAGTCATATGCTCTGAAAGCCAGCCATGACTGGAGGGCATGAGCACGTCTGAGTGGCAAAAGGATTGGACTGCACTGGACACAGACTTGTGCTTTCCTAGATTCCCTTCACTATCTCCCATTCCCCTCATCAACGTCTTGCCTGATGCAGATCGTCCTTCCATTTAGAACTTGAATGCATCACCACATTGTGGGCATGAGGTCTGACTTCCATAATCTCCACCAAGGGACTGGATGATGTAAGGCAGAACAACAGAGATGGTTGTTCTGCCTCAGGAATACCACGGCCAATGGGAAATACAACACTAATGACAGCTGAGCAGATACATTCTCCCCCCTCTCTCTCTTCCATGGACTAATGCCGGCTGCGGTTTGCCCTTGTAGCCTGTCTGGAAAAGTGCTAGGAGCCAAGTGCATGCATCTGATGACCACCGTGCTGTCTCTCTCACCTCACTGTGAAGTGGCTGCCAGCAGAGTCACGCCAGACATCACCACACATTGTTTCACATTTGTTTTTGTGTCAATTTCCATATTTCCCTGCCATTTTTGTCTTGAACTTGCCTTCCAAATAAATGTCATCGCTTTAATATAAGGTATTACATTAAAAATATTTTAGTAAAGTAGCTGGTTACTAACTCAATTTTTTGAACGGAAATGAATTTTTTATATGATAACCAACAAGAAAATATCATAATGCAAATATATAATTCACAGTAAAAAAAAATACATATGCAAATAGATCAAAGTATTTTATATGCTTCTTAAAAATATTGTAATAGGTGCCATCTAATTTTGATGTTCTACCTTATCTCCAATTCAGACATCTGATACAGCTGCATCAAGACTATATTATTGTGATATTTCCCCTAAAATTGTGGAATAGCCAAATTTTTCCTCTGAGGAATGATTCTTCTTGGATAAGCCTGTAACCTCAACCTGAGACCAGAACAGAGGAATTCATGCAACTGCAGATTTTGTGATGAGTTTCCTTTTCATTGGTTTACCACATCAACTTATGTGTTTTATCCATCCATTTATTTGTTTATTAAAACATCATTTTTGACCATCTATTCTTGGTGCTGGGTTCTAGGTCCTGGGATTCAACAGAAAGCCAGGCAGATATGATTTCGTCTTTTAGCGTACTTACATTGTACAGAGGATGATACATGATTTTTAAAAGTACATAAATCAGGTGTGGGGATGATTTATCTTAAGGTTGAAACAACACTGTTAAAATTTCATAATACCAAGAATGAATACAGTCATATCGAATTTAGCTGTGAACAAGACTGTACATTTCCTTCTTATAATGGAAATTCCTATTAATGAATATGTCAACACACTTCCATTTCACCACTGACAACAAAATTACAACACTAGGACACATCCTATAATTAATACATAGATTTCACAGATACTATTTTAACATTTACAAAAAGTTTCACTGAATTATTTTCCATAATTTCTGTAGTAGTTTCACATTGATAGTTTTTTTTAGAAAAGGGAAGATTGGAGTTCTCTTATCTGAAGTTTAGAAGGAATTTGATAAATGGAAGATAAGGATATAATAAGCAATTCAGGAGCTTAGAAGGGCTTTAGAAAAAATACTAAAATAATTTACATCGGAGCTCAATTTCAAAACAAGCATTTCTTTAATTCAAATCTGGAAGAAATGACTTTTCTAACTGCATATGGAAGCTGCTAACAGCAATCAAGATCATGATCATGATTTTTGATCCCTCTTATAGAAGAGATTTTTCTCTAAGCTATTCACATACTTATATTAAATCTAACATTCATCAGTAGTTTATGGTAGACATAGACAAAATTTACTCAATGTATGCTTGTCACTTGAATTGTTTTGTGTACATTGTTTTCTAACAATAATTCTGATTGCATTTTACTAAGCATAAAATAGAAATTCCTCATGGAATAAAACCCTGAAGATACATCCTCATTATTGATTTAGAATTGAACGACTTTATTATCCAGAAAGTTGTAGGTTAAAACAACGAATTCTAAGCACACTGTGGTACATTTGTGTGGTTCAAATCACAAAAGAAAAAAGCAATATTTTCCTGAGATAAGCTGTTAGTTCTTAATAATTATAAATAGACATAAATTCTTCAAATGAAATATGAAATACATATATAAAATAAAACTGCTTCATAATTCTAAGGAATTATTTTCTATAGTTTGGCAGTTTTTGTGAAAAAACAATAAAAAGCATGTTATTGTCAATGTTCTTCAGTTTTTCATACACACACACACACACACACACACACACACACACTTTTCTAGACTAACATTAGGTAAAAGACTTTTCTAGGTATAGGTTTGGAAATTATTCATATACATACATTACAGAAAACCCAGTAAGAAATAGAAAATGTTTCATACACCACCAGTTTGTTTTCTGCTAGAAGACACACAATGCCCCTCTCGTGAATCTATGGAGATGAAGGCTTCTGTCCTTTCACCCAGTACCTCACGTTCCACAAAACTGAAAGAAAAATCTGCTTTAGCTTCTTGTTTCCCCAAATCAGGATGAATGGGTGGGTGGAAGGATAGCTGAATACAATAGCTTGGCAGAACATGAAGACAGGTTTGTTTTCCAGCTCAAAATTCCAAACTGATAGGATCATGGCCAGAAAGTAAATGGCACACAATAGGAGAAAGGAGGTCACAGTTTGCAAAGCTTTTATGTGGACCTTGGTGCTGGGATCTTGAGATCCTTTGCCATGGAGCTGCATCTTCTTGAGATGTTTACACAGAGAACAGATTAACAGCAGAAAAGATATCAGGGTCAGAGTGAGGGGTATAAGGTTTGCTAGCATGCCTATAGTCACATTTGAAAGGTACGTTGCACTCCTCAATTTGATCCTCCAAGTCATGTTTCCTTCATATTCTTTTCTCCACACAATCTGATTCATGTTCATCACAAAAAGATGACAAACCAAAAATAGCAAAGGCCCCAACAGTGTCACCAGAATGACACTCTTAACTTTCCTCTTTAAGTGAAGAAAAATCAGGTTGGAGAAAGTGGCAATCTTGAGCAAATAAAACATGCTGAGGCTAGTAGAAAGCCAGTTGCTGAAATGGTTGGTTACTGCCCAGACATTATAAACAGTGATTCTTACTTCTTCACTATAAAAAGCTAGATTAAACTCACTTGCATACCAATTTAGTAATAATACCCAGAGCAAAGCAACTCTGGAGACAGCCAGACCAGTGAGAATTTGGTCAGCAAAGGAGATTTTTTGTCTTTTCACCCACTCAATGGAATGTACCAATGCTATGAAGCCATTAGCAAAATTTCCAATAACAAATATAACCCCTACTAGAATGGAAAAAGTGATGGACAGAAAAGTTATCATATCTGAACAGACAAAGAGAAATTTTTTAAATGCTAGTGTAATATCACTGGTTGTGATTGCTTGAATATCCTGACCTTAAATTCTATATGCACCTGATTTGTGTATGTGCTGTGACATTCTTTTTACTTTTTATTGTTGTGACCAGTGTAAAGCCAGAAATCACCATAGCATGCTAATGGATGAGTTCAACGCTCTCTTTATGGAAAACATTCTTGTTTTCAAAACAACTCAAATTAACTCATTCATTCACTGTCTGTTCTTGTTATAAGCTGGAATTATTCATACTGAAGTTGACATGAAACCTGAATTCTCAAGTAATAGTATGCAAACAAGGACATATTAACTTTCAGTGTTTGCAATTTTTCCTTATGTAACCACTCCATCATTTGTCTTTAACGACTTTAGTTGTTAGGGAAGTTTTATAACCCAATACAGAGATCATATATTAAATGTCTAAATTCTTAAAGGGAGCTTGGTCATAACTAAGATCATCACCTATACAGTCTTTTTTAAACACCAGATTTAAATACACAGAATCCATCCTTCTTTTATCAAAAGCATCTAAGATTTACTTGAGAACCACAGGCAGGCCAGTACTCCATAAGATCTGGTTGCTGCTAATACTTTTGTGTGACTTCATTATTCTCAAGCTCATAAATACACACACAAACAAACACATGTGCCCTCCACCTATGAATGGAATGAATTATTTTCTCATAATTTCCAAAATAAAGAAATGAGTTTCCAAGAGGTTGTCCAGCTGAAATTAGTCCTGTTTTCCCACTCAGGGTTTTCAGCCCATGAATATTATTTATTTATCAAACATATCTCTAATTCTTAGGTCTTTGGTAAAGTTTCTCTGAAGCCTAATGTTTAAATATTTATTATTTAATTAAAATATTCAGCAATTTTATAAGTATTCCTGACTACCAGACCCTTTCATATATAATCTTGCAGCATCCTCCCATCACAGGAAGACTGCCTTTCCCCTGAACTTGGAGTTCAATCATTTACTTACTTTCATGAACAGAAAATGACTACACTTTGCATAGAGATTTGAGATGGCTTCCATACTGGGGATTCTTCCTCTTTCCATTCACAATGAGAATATCGCCTGGCTAGTACACTGTTCCCAGAGGAGAATCAGAAACTAATGAAGGCAGATTATCCCCACCTGATCCAGACTAAATTGGCCAAACTCTAAGGACCTCCAAGATGCAGAATCTGGCCCATCTGTAATCACCACAGTCATCCACCAAACCCATTTAGAAAAATGAAATACAAAACATGTCATATATAAATGTCTAATGTAGTTTTGGAGGGTTTCTCTTGCAGAGAAACATAACTTATAAACGAACTCTGCTAAACAAGAGTGTGGGAAATACATACAACCTTGTTGTGTCAGGAATTCAGGAGCCAAAAGAAAAAATGGATGGGGAATGGCAAATATTTGTTCCTGTGAGGTAGAAAACTATGGCTAGAAGAAATCCTTTGGAAAAATCTGGGGGTGGCAGATAACACCGTCTCAAATTTCCTCACATTGCAACTAAATAAGAAAGTTCTCACTTCAACTCTCTTAGAGTTGTATAAGAATGTATACAAATAGTTTATTTTCCCCTCAGTATATACTGAGGTGAGTAATGATAATTTCTATGAGACATTTCTCTTAATTAAAAATTTTTATATTAAAATTATAATGCACACTTAGAAATGAACCAAAACAAAATGGGAAATACCACAGTGTATCATAAACAGTCAAGTAACCATGATGCAGAGCAAGACAAGGAACACTGAAAACAGCCCAGGTCCACCTCCATGCCACTTTCCAAGCAACTAAACCCTTCTTCACACCTCCTGAGATAAGCAATATCCATAATTTATAATGATTATTTCCTTAATTTTCTTCATACTTTACCACCTGGGTATGCAACCCTAAACTGCATAGCTTGGTCTGGCCTGCTTTGCACTGTGTGTAGATGAAATCCTACATGTTTTTCTTGTTTGTGGCTTCTTGGACTCAACATTATGTTTCTGAAATTTAGTCACATAGTTGCAAGTACATGTGATTTTTTTCACTTCTCTATATTGTTCCACTATATGGATTTACTGTAATGATTCATCCATCCTTTATATATATTTGGCCAGCTTCTTTTTTGAACAGTTATTAATAATTCTACTATACAATTCTTTCATATATCATTGATTCAATTTCTTTGTATATATGCTTTTGGATAGAAATACGGAGTCATTGTTCAAAGTCTCCTCATAGACATAGAAAAGTTCAAAAGCTACTTTAACTAAATTTACTCCTGTCACCTTTACCGCCAGTCTATTTTTTGCCATTTGCATATGTCTTATCAATTATATAATTACCCAAACAAGACATTATTATTTTATACAGTAAACATTCATTTACAATTATACACATATTTACCACTTTCATTAATTTGTTTTCCTTCTTGAATATTCAACTGAATATTTTCAATAAGTACCTTTATTGGCCAGGCAGGGTGGCTCACACCCATAATCCCAACATTTTCTAAGGCTGGAGCAGGAGCACCCAGGATTTCAATACCAGCCTGTGCAACACAGCAAAACTCCCTCTACAACAAATGAAAATCTTAGCCAGGCACAGTGAAGCTAATCACAAGGCTGAAGTGGGAGGATGGTTTGAGCCCAGGAGTTCCAGACTGCAGTAAGCCAAGATCCTACCACTGAACTCCAGCCTGGACAACAGAGTGAGACTCTTACTCTACATACAAAAATAATAATAATTTTTCTTTTATCTGAAAAAATATCATTTTAAGTTTCTGTTTATCAAGGTGTATACTACTTTTGAAATACACTGAAGACATGATTCCACTGAACTCTAGCTTCATTTTTGTCTGTTGAAAATCAGGCTGTCATTTAGACTGCTATTCCCTTTAATGTAATCTGTCCTTTCCTCTTGTTACTTTTCAGGTTTTCTATTGGTCTTTGATGTCCTATCATTTTATGTTAATTTGCTTCTAGTTATCTTGTCTGAAGTTTGATGGCTTCTAAAAATATATGAACTGATACATTTTATCACTTTTGGAAAAACATCCACATTTCTTCTGCCCCATTTTCTCTCTTCTAATCTTCCAGAACTCCAGAAGTATGTTAGTTGTTCTGATTGTAGCTTAAATATCTCTGACCCTCTAGCCTTATACTTTGTATCCCTTGGTCTCTTTATGCTTCATTCTGGGTAGTTATCTTCCAATTCACTAATTCTTTCTTCTTATGTTTAACTGGTTGTTATCTCTGTCTATTGGATTCTCAATGTTGATTACCCATTTTTATCTTATTGTTTTAGGGGTAGAAATAACTTTAGTTTTCCTTCTATAAATCATTTTTTAATGGAGAAACTAAATAACGTATTCCTAACGCGAAGTTCTTAAAAAAGGAGTTGTTATAAATTTTTAGTATACCTGTAATGAAAATGGTAGTGATTTTCTTCTTTTTGTAATACTTAGGTCACAGAAGAGATTAAAATCATGGTCTAGGCCTTCTCCTGCAACTTGAAAGAAACTGGAAATTGATTTGCTGTGATAGCTTTTTTTGGATAGTAGCTTGTCTATTGTTGGGTCATCACCACAAACTCTCCTCACAGGGAAATTCAGTGAGCAGCACTGGATCTCAAATGTCATACAATTAGTAAAATATAGTATCTCAACCTCAGCTCCACCATTCTAGTCCATGATTTAAATTTTACTCTGTTTTTATTAGCAGGAATCAAGTCTTCTTCATTTATAACATCTTTAAAAGATCAAATTGTAAAACAGTACTTACGAGTTTATCAAAGATCAAAGGACTTTTAGTCCCATGGAAACAAAACTGAATCTGGTGCTTTATGGAATTCCACCATTTAATCCATATCCTTGAATATAGTTTTGGTTAGAGAACTATAACCTTCGAACTCCATCATCACTCACTCAAGTGTGACAGAAGATCTGAGGTCTTACCTCTGTTTGACAATTTGGTCCTAAAACCCGCTCCTTAGAAAAGAAAAGCTTGCTCATAAAATGTGTTATTTGCTTTGTCTTTCTTATTAGGGAGTTTTAGCTACACTAAAATCTAAATTATTTCTATCATGATCATAGTGAAAAGAGGATTACTTTAAGCTCATCCATAAATAATTATTTGCTTAAGCAATGTATTGTAAAATACAATGTATTGTAAAATACACTACACTTAATTTCTAAATCTAAATGTATTGAGCTTGACTTAAACTTTGCTGTTAACTCCTGTAACTTTCCAACAATTATGATCTTTTTAAAATTACTTATTTTCCAAATTATGTGCTTAAATATTTCAAAAATAAATCATTTAATGAGATAGATGTGGATATACATAATGATGATAATGATGATGGCAGTGAAAGGAAGAATGCTTTTTGATAAATGTGATTTCAGGCTTGTTTCTAAGTACTGGAGTTCAGGGTGATGAGAGAACACTTATTCTTCCTCATGGCCTCATGATACTTCTGTGATTCTCAGCATCAGGCCTAGGCAAATACCCTCACATGGTATTTCATCAAGAATAAAGTAAAAGTAACATATTTTCAATGATTTATTTGCCTTTATAATTTTATTACACTTTAAAAATTCATAGCAAAAGTGATCTCCAACAATTAGGATTCTATTTTGGTTTTCTTTTGTGCAGTTTTCAATATGAACATAGACAAATACTGTATGTAATATACAGCATATCAACTTTATTTCATCTTTTAAAAGCATCATTAGCAAGCCGAGTTCTTGTAAACGCTTTTCTACATTCTTAGGTGTAGTGACTAAATCTGTATTATTTTACTATAGCAGTCAAAGTAGCATTATATATGCACAAACATACACAAAGATCATGCTAAATATGTTTTATACCTTAACAAATTTGCCTTTCTATGATTTTTTTTCTCTAATGCAGAACCAAAAAAATTATAGTAACAAAATATTTAACCCAACACACAGGTGTACACATGAATAGTATTGTGAAATTAGAATGCTAACAATATGAATATACATATTTCATTTACAGACACATTTTGGGATAATAGGTCTATATATTTAATATCTATCTTACTATAATTTATTGGAAATTCATGACTTTCTGACACTTTGAAATGTGAATTATAAATAATTAAATTGGAAATAAGAAAAAAGGTGTCTAGCAATCATAAATATTTAAATTTTGATGTTTCAAATTCATATTAGCATTAAGTAGGTGGATTTACAGTTCTTGTTTATCTTTTTTTAAAAATTATTTTAAGAAAAGATTTGGGCTAGGTGTGGTGGCTCATAACTGTATTCCCAGCATTTTGGGAGGCTGAGGCAGGTGGATTGCCTGAGCACAGGAGTTCAAGACCAGCCTGGACAACATGGAAAAACCCTGTCTCTACCAAAACCAGAAAAATTTAGCAGGGAGTGGTTGTGCACACCTGTTGTCCTAGCTACTCTGGAGGCTGAGTTGAGAGAATCACTTCAGCCCAGGTGGCAGAGGTTGCACTAAGCCGAGATTGTGCTTGTGTACTCCAGCCTGGACAACAGAGTGAGACCTTGTCTCAAAATAAAAAAAAGAAATGTTTTAAATTTTAAATTGGATTTCTTAGTACCATAATGCTCTATTCTCCTTTATTCAGCAAAAACTCTAATTACAATGGTATCTATGAGAATATGCTGTATCACCCTAATTTTATACATAGAAGTGAACTTTATGTTTCTGCTTTTTTAATGTTTTTTTATTGGGGAGCATAACATACAGAGAGTAATAAAACCTAATAAAGAGTAAGAGAAAAAATTATAACATTAACATCGATGTTACCACACCTTGGTCAGAAAATAGAATTTGCCAGCAATTCAGATACTCCCAGTACATGTCTTCTTGTTGATATTTCCCTTTTATCTCCTCCCTCCTGACTATCCCAATTGTTATGATGATCACTCATATATTTCACTGTAGAGTTTTATCACCAATGTAACAAATTACAATGTATTAAAAACATGTTTTTTCAAACTTTATCTAAATGAGATTATTCTAAATACATTTTTCCATCTTAATAATTCCTTTCACATCTGCCAGTATTATTATCTATGTAGCTCAAATTTGTTCATTTTCTTTGTTGTATTATCCTGTTGTAAACATGTCAGTCTTGTTTGTTAATTTTGATCACTGTATAGTATTCCATTGTATAAGTATGCCAAATTTGTTTATCCATTTGGAGAACTGATAGACATTCTAAGGACTTCTCAACTTAGCTACTGAAACTCACTGATATGCATGTGTATGTATATGTATTCACATAAGAGTGTAAATACTGGGTCTTAGGATGTTATCCTTCATCTTAATCAGATAATGCTATACTCAGCCAAAATGACTGTACAGATTTATGATCCTAGGAGTAGCATATGAAAATTCCCATTGTGTCATATCCTTTCCAATATAAGTAACGTCAGAGTAATATTTACAGTTTTATATTTATGCAACATATTATTTAAAAACATTTTCTAAGCCCTTTTCTATTCTAATTTAGAATGTATTTTTACTTCAATAAATTACATTAATTTTTTTCATTCTATGATGGTTATTCATATACATTTATTAATAATGCCTTGTATAGTATACATATTTATTTATATTTCATTATAAATTTGTCTAACCTTTTTGCTCAAGTTTCGAATACTTTTTTGTTATAAGCAAGTGTAATTATACTGGAGATACTTCCTTTAATCAATCACTATGCCAAAGGACTTTGAAAAAATATAATTAGTTAACAGCATACTGTAAAGGAAATTTCAGGATTGTTTAACAACTTTTAAAAGGACTCAAAGAAAAAAATGTTGAAATACAAAAATAGTCTACAAGCTTAATGTAGGTGTCCATGGGAAAAATAAATATATCATTGCTGTTATTGAAAAAATGATTGGTAGTAAATTTATCATGTCTGAATGTTTTAAAAAGTAGGCCTAATATCACTGGACAAGATTCCCTTTAAGGTCCTGACCTTAACTTTTATGTGTACCTGGTTCCTGAATGTGTAGTAATGTTCTTGTTCCTTTTAAATTCTGTGACCAATGTCAAATGGGAAAGCATCTCAATATGGCAATGGATGAAATCAATGCTGTCTTTATGGAAAACATGATAATTTCCAAAACAGCTCAAATTAACTCCTATTCAAACACAATGTCCTTGCTGTAAGATAAAATTTTCCATATTGATGTTGAAGTGAAAGCTGAATTCCCACCTACTAGCATGTCAAGGAAGAGTTTTTTTAATTGTTCTGGAATTTTTCCTTGTTTAATGTCTCCATAATTTGTGCTCAGCAACTTCAGTTGTTAGAGGTATTTTACAACTCAATACATATATGACACATTGGTTGTATAGCCTGGTGAACGGAGCTTGAGGACACCTAGGATCATCACCAAAGTAGATTTATTTTTTTGCA